TTTTGGTTTTGGGAGTATGTGATTGAGTTAAATATATGTAAAAGCATGATACTTTTTTAAATGGCAAATTCACATCAACCATGCAATGTCATAAGAATAATAAGGCATATAATTATAAATATTAGCTGAGTCATTAAAACAGCTGCTGTTATTTAATGAGTGTATTTTTAAGTCATCATGAAAAGATGACAAATTCAATTTAAAAAGACATTTAACAATATATGTTTTTCACGGTATCTATTGCTTTCAATGATTCAGTGTTAATTAATTGCCATACAACTCCAGTTATCTATCATATACTTTGTCTTTATCAGCTCATTTCTTCTTTATGTGGTAATAGATACAAAGTCAGTTATATTACATTGACATCACAGCTGGATGCCTGCCAGCCAAAGGATTAATACATGGACATCATCACATTAAAAATCTATGCCTACAACCTTTACAGGGACAGGGGCAGATTGTTCAAGTTGCTCCATTAGGACCAATCCATTGCCTACCATTCAGAGTAGCACCAGGTAATACACACTCTAAAGGAGTTGGTCTGATACTGCTGTCTGTAAAATATGATCCAAAACCTATACAGTTGTTATTATACACATCCAGTGTCTTACCTGAGGAAGGCGGACATTCACTAATAACTTCACTGACACTCAACAATCACTCCTGATACTGACAATGCCATTTATTGTTATTTTTGACACTGAAATTATACAGTTTCTATTAAGTAGATAAAGTCTTTACTTGTCACAAGCCATGATAATAACTCAAAACAATAACATGTTTGTGTACTGTAACAAACTATGTGCATGAACCATGCACACATAAGTTTTGTATCTAATAATGCATGCATATGTCCAAGAGTAGATAATATTATCTACTCTTGATGCATCCATGTATTATGTTTTTAGTTTACAATCAGGATCAATATCATTAGCAGCTTGTCTATTTATTCACAGTAATTTACACTTAAGATAAATTTGCAAAATGGATAGGGTTATCTCATTAACCATTGATGTTCTCATTCTATACATTATGATTTACCGGTATGTATGTTTTGTAAAAAAATTTTAACAACTTAAAAATTTACTTAAAAAATTAAAATGTAAATGGAATCAGCTCAAACTTTCTACGGAACATAAGTACATGTATATGTATCAGAAAAAATTATTAAAATGGCGAACTTTCTCCTTTTCACTTTTGGCAAAATTTAGCCAAAGATCCTAGT